CGCGATTTACTACGACTACGTGACCTATTGTGAACTAAGTTTAGTAGCTAAACAAATACGAACTATTGTAATTGAAACCTTTAAGCTAATCAGTTTTAATGATCTACAGTAATAGTAAAGATCATTCTTTGCTGCGAAGTTCTTTCGGACCAGTACGTTTGGTAGGCGTTTGAATTTTTTTTAACTGAGAATTTCCGAAAGAAATGAAAGAATCAATTCAGTTGCTATGTAAAAAAAAAACTGGAGTCGACTTGTATTGACCAAAGCAAAGGAAATGAACGAGAAACAGATACCCTCAAAAATGAATCGAACGAAATGAAAACATGTGATGAGAATGTTGCGAAATCAGATGAAATGTCACCTGAGTCAGTCAGAATTGGAGTGAAAAATTTTTTAAAGATACTCGCCGCCTTCGACAAACAAAGAACGAAATTCGTAAAAACGCCTTCGTCTACGTGCCAAGAAAGACGAATCATCGCCTTCATATGATATTCATTGAAAACGTCGTCTTGTCAGTGCATTTGCTCTAGTGATTCGTCAACACTCTTATTATGCGTCATGCACTCTGATCATGAAATATATGCAGACTCAGTAGGCATACTGATAGCCAGCCGCTCACCTGCACATTGAAACTTCAGGCAATGAATCACCCAAAGCAATCAATGGATTAGTGAAAAATTTAGTGATAATATCAATAGATGATCATGAGACATAATTGATGTTCTATTGAAAGCACAAACGAAAACCTTCATTGACCGAGAACCACGTTATAATTGTAATGAGAAAGAGGAAGCCGTTGAGATTCTGATCTGAATTGTTCCATCAGAATAATTTGAAGAAAGGAATAATAGACGATGTAATATTTTATGAGGCAAACAGACTATGGTTTCATAAAAAATCGAGAAGTGCAGAAGAGAAATGATAAACTTTTTTGTTCATTAAAGAACTCTTGAGAATCACTCGCTAAACGCTATGCGACATTCGTATCGATTCCGTATGAGTACGAAGAAACTTTACATGTTTCATAATGCAAAAGTTTGAAAAGCATAAAACATCACAAACATTACAGACAACATCGCATAAACATATCGAATGGGCGGAATTTCTTTCTGATCGTTTATAGTACAATTAATTGCGGCGATCAAGAATATGAAAAGAACTTTCACATGATTCTGTACACGTATGTCTCAAAAGATACGATAACATTCTTATCGGCGACACTATCATTTAATACAAACATTACGCTTATCATAGCGAATTGCTCATAGTCTTTTTGAATCATTAAACTCATTGCTACAAACTTTGAAATGCAGTAGAGAAAAAAATTCAATACATTTTAGAGGAAGGAATCGTATTCGATGAATGCTGTCATTTGCACGTAAATTATCATTTTTCTGGCGTCATTAAAAGTGACGATACAACTAGTGTTCGTCGGGGAACGAGGTCCCCGTCGGGGACCCCGGCGGGGNCCTCCCCCGCGCAATTTGCTCCCCGACTTTTTCGCGGGGACCCCCCTCGTCCAATTTACTCCCCGCGGGGACCCCCCCGTGCAAAAAATTGCTCCCCGACGAACACTAGATACAACCATACTCTTTGCAAGTAAAGTGTATTTGACCACAGCACAATGACATTTGCATGAGATTAAGTCGAAAAATGTGAAAAAAGGCGTATTTATATTCGGATCTCGCACCCAAATAATTACTGAATGAATCAATGATGCGAATGTAGAATGGAATGGAAAGGTGTTCCTTTAAGGAATATGGAATTGTCGTTCATTCGACTGAGTTTGTGAGACACTCGTCATTGGGTGAAGATATGCAATATATAAGAACGGTAGCAAATGTGATTGGAAACAATTGGAGAATCGCGTCGAAGAAAACAAGCAGACAAACGAAATTCAGCAAAAGAATCGATGAATAAATACTCACTTTTAGTATCCTTCGTAGCAGTAGTGGTGTTGTTATTGGTACAAGAGACACTCAGAAGTTGTTCATCGCTGATAAACCATGCGAGAGTCTTGTTGCTTCTGGATTGGGAGTTTTTTGAACCAGATGAGGGGGACGATGACATGCGGTTATTGTGTGATGGTGAGTTTGTGTTATTCGCGGATGCTTTTTTGCGGCATTTTTGACGAATTTGATCAACAGGCTGGTGATTTGATGAGTTGCTAATTACGGTGACTGAGCGGGCGTCAGAGTCCACTGTGATCCCGGCAGCAGTAACAGCAGCAAAATCCATTTCATTAGTATTCAGTTTACTAGATTGTTTCTGAAATGTACACTGTATCTGTTGGTATCTTCAAATAGGGCAGCAGAATTTTATTCGTTTCGAATGATGTTCGTGCTTAGAACGAACCAAACGGTGATATTTACTAACGAAATGATATTTGCAACAGATAACCGATCTAGCTTGGTCCAATCTGCTGCTCTCAATATTCTTTCATTCATCATCTGACTGATCAAACGTTCACTGCATGGCTGTGAGATTTTCACTTAGTAATCACTCAACAGAGGTTCCCGGATGTCTTAATGGGATTTACAGGTAGGTAGTTTCATAACTCAGGGGGATAGTTTTACGATGAAAAGATCGTACACGAGAAGAATAGGCAGGAAATGGTTTGGGACTATGGATGTGTCATCGCGATGATTCGGATCATGATCATGTGGCAACGGTATGAATGCATGGAACATGACATGATGGTCGAAATTGAATTGAAAGTTGATGCGCGATGAAGAGAGAGTGAATATGAAATCTGATGATATTGCAGCATCATGCATCAATATCATGCGTATACGCTAAACAATTGAACAACAGAACAACAACAGCCATTGGCCACATGCTGACTAATGGAATATTTCGGAAATGTTACGAAATATTTCATCGATAAAACAACCCACAAGTCGTTAATCTAAAACGATGTGGTAGATAGACGGCTCGAGAATAAAGAACTAAAAATTACTCATAGTGAATCGTTATGAGCTTGCACAATCTAGTGACGTAAAAAATTGCACACTCGATCAAGAAAGCGCATGAGACGTGTCTTAAAACGTCAGGTATTCTTATCATTCATTCAGCTGCGATAAAGACACAATGATCAGTTTTTTGAGATTAAATTTGAAAGCAGTTGATTGCACTTGTCATTCTTAGTTTCTTCGCTTTTTTCTTGTTTCCCGTTTCGATCATTCGATCACTTCCTGTCGACTTTATGACCGTTAGATGACTCAATTGTTACATACCTAACACACTGATAATCAGCTCAAGAAGACGTATGAAAATGTAAACTTACACGTACGATCATGTAAACTTAAAATAAGATGTTATGAAAATTAAAGAATCAAAAGACTTCCATGTCAACAAGCAAATGCTCTCTTCTCAATTTGGCTCTAAAGCTTCGTCGCTAAGCTTTTCTTAAGTACACCCGAGAATGGCTCGTCGCCTAAATCCGGTAAAGAATGAAGAGTTTTTTTACCGGAAGTAGAATTTAGCGACTAGCGATGATCACTCGAAGTGATCAGTTCACTTGCTGTTCAACTGCAGTTATGAAGACACCTATCTATAACACTGAAGTCGATGATGACGATGCATTACAAAATTTCGATAAAGCAACATAGTGCACGAAGCAAATTACAATAAAAATTATGATTCATCGTCACAATCAGTTTTGAATGAAACACTGAATCACCAAATCATTCATCATGCGAATAACGGAAAATTCTGTACTTCTCTGTTAGGTTGTTATTATAAGATATCACAATGCATCGTGATCAGAATCGCTAATCTGACATAACCTCTTACAATTAGCATAACGAATAATTTCATAAAAACCATCGTGAAAAGATGAACTTTCATAACTTTTGCTTATAGTCACAAATCGACGGATTTTACTAGCATAGGCCTCGGTCTTGTTTCAGACGTTGATCTTGTCCTCAATAAGTTTGTTTCAATAACAAAGGGTTATTGAACGAAGAAAACGTTCATTTTTTCCGTAAAAGAGTTACGTTCGTGAAACTTTCATAGATTAATCGATATGAAATGATTCTATCAAGGCCGCTTGCTTCAGATATTTCTCCTTAAGATAACATGACGTGATTAGTGTGGTAAATTGATGCAAATAAAGAGCCTGAGAATGTGAGATGAACGCAGACAAGTGGCGAAAATTAATTAGATATGACAATCAAGTTTCATTGGGAATAAATTTCATTTTTGTTTATGATAGAGAAGATGAATTGGAAATAAATTTAAAAACTGAGCAAAAGTTTAGTGATGACGTTGATGGTCAAAGAAAATCACTGCGATTAATATAACGTTCGTTTGACGGCCCACTCTACTGAACTTATTAACCGCGATAATTCCTGGAACTCATCAAACTTTTCGCTACGGTGTCACTGGGTTTGAACCTACCGTAGACATTCGTCATTTTTTCATACTTATATGGTTATGTAAGATAATATCAAGGCACAGGGGGCACAACAGGGTTTCATCGAGAACTGCGAGTGATTAGTTGTTTGGTTTACGATAGATATGGTTAGTTAACTTGGAAAGAGCTGTTGTATATTCTGACAGAATGAGCACGTGAGCACGTTTCACTATCATTGTTGTTTCGATGATCTAGTGGACATTCGTGCTAATCACTTAATCATACAATGAGCCCCCATCGTACGCGTGACACTCATTCCTAAGTACCAATATTATAATAGGCATTCGTGATCAGCGAAAACATAACGGTAGCGGCGATAACATGTTGATAGTGATTCTGAATGAATTAGTTTTAACAATACTCATGTGATAACAATGGGCATGCCAATTCAGTTTGTAAATTCAGAAACATAATCAATCATTCTGACGCAATGCATCCTACAGATGATAGCTTTCGAGATAGTTAAGTATTATGAGATCGCTAAAGTGTGAAATAACGTTCGCTTTCAAAGAATCACTTTCGAATGGAACTACGACATATTAAAAGAAATTTATGCACTCAAAACCTCTACGAATGTAACATTTCTGTGATGTTCCTTCAAATCCAACAATTAATTCTATGGTGTTGTAAAAAACTAACCAACATAACAATATCGTGTTCATACATCTTACCAAGCTAGCATCAACTTCTGTGCAACATTATTGAATGATATCAAATGAGAAAATGAGTCTAACTCTCCCATGACCACAACAACTTTCATGTGAATGTAGAAATATGATTAATATCTAAATTCAGTACCGATATCAACTTCATTTTCTAAACTTATCAATTCTATGTAAGTAACTATTTTGATCAATTCACAAGTTCATCAAACGATTGGAATGATAAATAAAGCTGAGTCTGACTTTATTGGACGGTGGTGCTGCATTCGGTTGATTTTTAGGCGGTGTTGTGGGTTGTGGATCAAGTTCCTGGCCGCCGTTTGTTGCCACTTCCTCAGCACTTGTACTGTGCATCTTTTCTCGAGCCATTCACACGAACTGATTGACTGATGAAGATTCACTCTGAGCGCAGTAACAATCGAATAGATCTCAGTTGTGTTCAGTCAATTAATTAACCAATTAATTTTTCAGATAATTGATGGAATGAGAACTTTTTGGATCTTTGATTGAAAATTAACGATTCGAATGAGATGTAAGTGGAGCTCGCTCTCTCCTGACTTTTGGTTTGAACGCGAAGTTCTTCAGCAAAAATTGCTGAGATGTGAGAAAATATTTGGTGAATTTGTTTCGAAGAATTTCTCAGAATCCGAGAATACGACACTATTGCACATGAAACAGGAAAGCACTAGTTGCTTCAGTGATTCGTTTGGAGAGCTTGAGTAGTAAGAGATAACAGTAATCACTTCCTTGTAGAATGATTAAGTGATTAGCAGTTGATAACCGAAGTTTGAATAAGACAGTAGTAATAAGATAGCTTTGCCTTGAGCAGATAGCTTAGTGATCGACGAGGTTGTTATGATGAACACCTGAAATCGAAAAAAATTGAAATTGTTAAAAACTTGTGAGAGGTAACGAAAAGCAGCCATAATAGATGAATGAACGAACACCGAGCGTATATTATTAGAATCCCCACAAATCCGAAAAAGTATTCATGTGTAAGAAAGTAGAGCTGCATGTTCATCTAATACTGGGCATTACATCACGGTCGAATAAACTGGTAAAACATCAGATGAACTAGAAAGGAGAACAAGCGCAAAAAATTATCTTCCCATATAATCAAAGAAATATTGAATTCCGTCCGCAGTAAGCAATGATTATATGATATGAGACTGAATCCAAAAGGAAAATGAAACAGGTTGATAAAAAAGACGGGAAGAGAATGCGCGGAGAAGAGTGTGGACAGCATTCGAGAATGAATGATTGAGAAGGATAACAACCATGATGGGAGCGTGAACGCTTAAGCACTGATTAAAAACGGCACATGATAACTGTTTTGACTACAATTGGGCGCATCTGATGATCGTCAGACTGAAGGCTGATGCCAGCAGACTGAACTTTAGCTGACTGAAGCGTCTGGCTGACTTACTGAACTTCGATGTGAGCAGTTGTTTTCGAAAGAGTTCAACAGATTCAGATCGTGTAATATCTTAAATAATGATCAAGTGCGATGGTGTGTTGTTGGCACTAAACTGATCAAAAACCATGAAATGTTCAGTGGTCCAAGTCTGTCAATATTTACAGCATCACGTTGATGTCCGTTAGAAACACACATGACAGAACATTTTCTTAACTCGTAAAAAATCTCAGTGTAAAAATACTCGTGAAGATGCTCATATTGAAACACAATCAAAAAATATTTTTATGCACTTATTAACATCAATACCACATTTATATTTGTAGTGCATTCACTAATACTAACAACTATGAAAACAAGCATGATGAAAAACGCGGATAAATTTTATAATGCCTTTTGATTTTACAGTGTTGAAGTTTGTATTCGAATAGTACAATGAATAGAAAACAAATAATACGGCGGACAAGACAAACGATAAACACATGATACGCCATTCAGTCATGTCTGCGGTATGTTTTCCGGTTTACGAAGGAATATGGCATTGCGCACAAAGAACATTACGATTAAAACTCACACAAGCAGCGATTATCAATCTGTCCTGAAAATGCTAAATCGCGGAAAATTCAGATGGATTATCACATAAATATGTTTTCTAAACTTAGACAAGGAATGAATCCTTTGGTGATCAGTGATATCTAATTTGAATTCAAGAATTTCAATCATGAGATAAAGTTTTCGAGTCACGTACAGAAGGGATGAAGAATAGAGGTCTGCTGTATGACCTAAGCGGCCGCGGAATGGACAAAATAGTTGGAAAAAATCACTCAAAAATTCACTGTCAATACGGAGTAGTTGGAGGGTGTAAATTTTACAGAAAAACCATAAAATTATAAGAATATTTGATTAATCGAGCAAAATTAGTTACTTGAATGTAATGTTCGCTTATAAATGCACTACTGAATAGTTTAATGATTCAAATGCAAAATGAAATTATGCAATTGACCAAATGAAACGAATTGCTGGATGATTTACTACAAATATTCATGAATATGCACTTGATCGGAGAGAATAAAACTGTTTACAATTATGGCATGCAAATGATCACTTCTGTTTAGTGTCTGCAAAATTGAGCCCACATGTAATCACTTTTGGTGAAGTGACGAAATGAATGTGTTGACAAAATAAATTTCGTATGAATCTGCGAAAATTTCTGCATGAATCTCAAATGAACCGTTGCAGTGATTTAACTCTTCACCTGCCACAAGTTATCATGAATTAGAGCCACTTTATAAGTTTAAAATTAAAGCAATCTGAGCGCCTCTCATTGACAGTTAATACTTGTACAGCTTTACAGTTGCTGTGATTTATTTCTTCAGATCATGACGGTAACAACAATAATCAAAAACAAGAACCTAGTAATGGAAACAGCTGCTATATCGATAACGGCGCTAACGATAATCACAGTAGTGAAATTCTTGACGAGACTAATCCACTGATAACAACACGGATCATTCCTTATGATAGCACCAAGAAATGCCCCTCATGGACTGTACTCGTCATTAAACTTAGACGATAGAGCGCCGCCATTCACAACGCTAGAAGCCGTTCGCTGATAGAGTATTGTGGTTGGTTGACTTGGGACTACACACACACCAGATATGATTTGAACAAGCGCAGAAGGTTGTTATTAGTAGTGCCATAAATGTTGTTATTGTCGTATCACTATCGTTATCACTGCAGAAAAGATTATTCTGCAATCACGTCATCGAAATTTGAAAGTGAAAATGCACAACACGAAAACATATTTTCGATAATTTTGGCTGCTTAGTTATTCTCTTAATCCTGATTTGTTCGTATGTGGCTGGCATGCGATTGTTTACAGGCAATCGAATGGTGATCACTCTCAAAGCAATGATAATGAGTGAGTTACTGGAATCGTTGAATTCATTGCATTAGATTGATGGATAACTCTCTCGGAATCGTGTTCACTTTTTGCGATGAGATATGGCGAAAATCTTTTTTTTTTGTCTCGGCTCTTTTAACTGCAACAACGATCGAGTAACAAAACAAATGCATGAACACAAAATGAAATTTGCATAAACATTATGAGACAGTAGTGATCAAAAATCGCAGCTGACAATGAGATTTTTTGCAAAGGCAATAATGCCTGATCCATCTCACATGATTGATCTCGTTAATTTGGTTATGATCATCGATATTTAGACAAATCGGTTCCTGATCAGTGTACAATCCAGATAATCACGTCAAATTATCCAAATCACAGCATCAATTCCCATATTGTGAAGGTGATATTATGTTTAAACGATCATCTACCACTATATCCTTTGATGGTTTGCATTTTATGATATTCTGAT